AGCCATAGGTTCCTTCACTTTCCATTCCCTTCTACTCTCCTAAATCTAAGTTAGGAAAGTATACCCCTCTCTTTGAACATCAAATGTTCAAAGAGATGTTCGGAAGGTTGCAACCCCTAACTTGCACCTTCCTCTCTTCTTTACAAGCTCAAAATTGTAGAGAAATTCAACCTTCCTACAACTCAAAAGTTGTATGGAACTTCCTTGTACTCAATCCATGTTGGGTTGTTTAATCTCATTCCATTTATCTTATTTGTTGAGCCAAAAGTAACAAGTAACTTCACCCCAAGCATAGGATCCAAGTCCTATTTCCCTTCAATCTTCCCAACTCAAGTTGGACGGGTGCAATCCTCTTTTGGACATCAAAATATCCAAAGACCTTTATGAATTTGCAACCCAAAAGTTGCATTTTCACCCAATCCTCCTCCAACTCCAAAGTTGTAGGAGACTTCTCCTCTCTTTAGCTCCAAAAGCTAGAGAGAACTCTCCAACATTTAGCTCAAAAGCTAAATGTTGGGTTCTTACCCTTTCTTCTTAGCTCCAAAAGGCTAAGGAGAATTTTCCTCAACAAGTGGCACAAAAGTCACATGTTGGGCACTGCTCCCTTAAACCCAAACTCTAGGAGGACCCTTAGTGTGACATACCACACAAGCCTCACACACTTAGATGCACAACCCCTTAGGCATGCTAGGATTAGGATTTTTCTTTGTGTGCGCATGTGATTGATGTTGTGAAGTGATTGAATTTTTGATTGTCTGCGTTGTGGGCACTTGCCCGTAAGTGGTTAGTATAGAAAAATATGAATGCTTTTCTGTGCAGGTGGCCATGTCCAAGAAAGAGGGTAAAAAAATCATGATTATCATAATGTTGTTTGCTTGCAGGCGCTGCTTAACCCCCCCCCCCCCCCCCCCCCCCCCCAGAGGCATGGCCAATAGGGTAGAAGCAGGGGCCTAGTGCTTAACACTCTGAGTGCTAGGCCAATTTTGGGATGTTCATATTTTTGCTATATAAATTGCCCCTGACTTTATTTTGCAGATTTGAGTCTTTTTCTTTTTTACACCATGTATTTGATTAGATTTAGGGTGTAAAACTTGTGGGGTTTGGATTAGAAAGCATAGAAGATCAAAGGAGAAAGTACCTTCTTGGAGATAAAGCTTGAAGATCCCCACAAGTAGAGTCTGTAATTAATTTAACTGGGTTGTATAATGGCAGACAACTCAGCTGTCAAATCTGGTTGTAATAAATTAGACTTTATCTACATTTCCTGCATTTTATTTATAAATAAAAGCATGCGTTGTTTGTTTACTGGGTGTACAATAGAAATGCATCTTTTTCCTAGGTTTCTTTCCTTGCTTTGTTTGGGTGTGGCCTGGACTTTGTTGTGTTAGACTCTTAGGATAAAATAAATTTTCTACCTCTTAACATGTAAGCAATCTAAAAATAAAATCAAATTAGGCTCCATGTCTTTCAAGTAAGAAAAATTGCATGGCTCCCTTCAAGGAGCCAAATTTTTAAAATTGAAAATAAACATGCATAGCCCAAAGTGTGTCACATGTAGAATGCCTCCACTGAAAGACTAAATAACAAAAATCTTTCTTTTTGTGAGTGAACATATGCATACCCACATATTTAGGCATCTTGGCATCAAAGCCAAGCTATAAGCCTTTCCTTCTTAATAAAAACAACCCTACCACTCTACATTTGCATTGAAACCGAATAACATGGTTTTAAAAGCGATTAGGGGGAGTTTAGCTGGTAGTCTCTTCCAGGCGGGACAATAAATTCAGAGGTCGGGCGGGTTATGCCTCTTGTGAGGTGTAGCTTATAAGTCCCTCTTTGCACTCGTTAGATCTAGGTTCGAGGCACTACCTGTCGGTAGTCCTCACCTTAGTCTTAGGGTCTGAGGCATGGGTTGATTCCAAATCACCCTATAAGCCCTCAGCCTTCGGGCAATTCCTCCAACAAGCGTTGTTGGCATATAAGCCCCAATCTTCTAATAAAAATATCAACTTAAACCAAAATTAGGTTGTTAAAATGTAAAGCTCAACATAGGATAGTTTGGGCACCTCTGAGTTTCATCTCAGAATAAAGTGCCCCTACTTCACCTCCTTTGGCTTTCATCCCCAAAATCTAATCCTTAGTTGATCAATTCCTGCTTGAAATTCCTAAAGGCCAAATCCTTTTGCTAAGACTTTCATGGATTTCAAAAATCAAATCTTAGCCAATGTTTAAATGACTTAAAAAACAAGCAAAACCACTAGTTTAATCAAAAGTTTTTCCAAGCCAAAACCCCGCTCGACCAAACATCGAGTGGGGGAATCTCTATTAAAATTGTAAATTTTATTATTGAGCCCATAAGAAAATGGTATTTTTACCCTCCGGGGTAATATATCGTGTTCTTATGCCGTGCCCGATTATAAAATATGCAATCCGTTTGAGGATACAAAAAATTCTCTTATGTCCGCTTGCATGAATGTTGCGGATCCGGTGGCGTTGCGTAGTAGCTTCTGGATTGAGTTGTGTGCTGCATTGTACAGGTAGACTGTCGTGCACTAGTTGCTTGATTTACACAGGTATATTATAGTACACTAACGAATCTCCTGCTTTTGGATATGGGTGTATCATAGCGTTGTCACCTGAATCTCATGAGATATTTCATTATCTTGGTGCAGACTCCTTTTTCTCATTCACCGGGAGGTCCTTTTTAATTAAAATCATAAGTTATAATTAATTATAACTAAATGATGTTAATTAATTTTAATAAATTATAATTAATCGATAATAATTAATAATAATTAAATTATAATTAATTAGAATTAATTAAAATAATTATAAATAAATATTTATTTAATGTATTTTTTTAATTTTTGGAGTCTGTAGTTTCGGCGGATTTAAGGGATTTTGCCGAAGAAGCATGCGCAAGGGAGAAAGTTACCTTCATAGCTATTGAGCTCCCGTGGCTACTTCCGATCCCACAGGAGGGAAAATCGTCGGGGGAGCAAGCCGAAGAAGCGCGCGGAATGGAGAATGTTACCCTCACAACCAGCGGGCTCCTGATTGCTTCCGTCAAAATGTCGGACTTTCGATCCGTCGAGAAGGGAAAGTCGTCAACGGAGCGTAGTCGAACAGCCCCGAAGGAGTAGAAGAAGCGCTCGAAAGGAAGATAGATGGCTATCTTCTCAACGTGTAAGCTCCCTTCTTGCTTCCGATCAAACTATCGTAACTTCCGATCCGATCGAAAAGGCAGGCCGTCGAAGGAGCGTAATCGAACAGCACGAAGGAGTCGAAGTAGCGCATATGAGGGAGAGAGGGAACCGGTGAGAGCGAAAGAGGAAGATATCCAAGAGGCAGAAGGCCTCGTTTCCTCTCGATATTTAACGACACGAGCGGGACATCAGGTCGTGCCGAGATCGTGGAGAGAAGCGACGTCAACGTGCGGAGGTATGGCGACGACGTGTGCGGGAGGCTTTGGACAAGTATGCACGATTCAGTGATTTTTTTTTTGTCGTATGGCATACAGGTAGGTTAACACAAACTAATGAATTGGAAAGCTATGGCAACTACATGCAAGGGCAATCAAATGAGTACCAATATCAACTTCCCTAGCTTTGGAAAATTCAATTCTAATGATGGCAAAGTTGATATTCATTCAAAAACTTTTGATGTGATATTACGATTTGCCTTACAGGTTCCCATTAATCATCCTAACATGCATTTCTTTCCATTTCACAATGTAACTTTGATATCTTCCATTAATAATGTACACAATTTCATTGCCATAAAAAAAAAATCATATTTTCCGTGCTATCTTTTCCATGAACATAACACATTCTTCTAAGCAAACCATGGTAATAAGATATAAATATAGTTCATTATGGTTGAGATAATGCTTATATATTCATTATGGAAATTATTTTTATTTTTGTCAAGCAAGATAAGAAACCCAACCTTCTACATCACATACTATACCATTGACCTGAAATATATCTCCACAAAAAGAAACAAGCACCACATTAGTTGATTGAGTATAACTTAGATATTTCTTCTGATGACCTTGACTTTCCTTCTAATACATTCTCTAATAATCTTTCTAATAAGACTTTCCATCCTAACAAAGATAAGTTATCTTTGCCTCATCAGATACACATATATGTTGCTGCGTTCTCTAATATTCACCCTAATTTAGATCTTACCCTTAGTTCTGCATTGCCTAATGTGATGTACCCAAATGAGAAACCACTTTTGCATAGGTAAATAGATGGTTCCTTTTTTAGGCCTCCTAATATAACTAATTTGACATAATTATTTTTATGTTATTGTATTACCATTAGCACTTTATGTTTAAAATCTTCAATCACATGTACTCCAACAAGTTGACAGGAATGCTAATAAATCTAATGATAGTGATTATGTTTGATTTTACATTTATTCCCTTTGTTATGCAAAAAAATAAATAAATAAAACAACAAGTGGACAGGAACTTGTAATTTATTGCTTATTTTCTAGTCTTTTGCTCCTAACATGTTCTCAAGTCATGTTTTCATTACATTTTATATTCAATCGTCAGAAGGATTTATAGATTATTAGGACTTGTAGATAAGCTCAGTAGACAGAGGTACATTTTTAAAGGCTTAGCAATTGCAATTTCCCTAACTTTAGTTCGGGTGGCAAACATATGATGTCAGTACATAGTGAGGAGCTTACATAAACTCCACTTGCAATTAGTAACACCATCATTGCACCGATATGTAGTGGCTATAAAGTCACGGATGCCTATGAGGAACTTGAACGGATCCAATGATATTTAGGACCTTAAGTCACATCAATTTGTTGTGAATTGTAGATAAGATAAATATAGATTGGAGATTATTGTTTCTAGACATGCAGGCATCTAATATAAGATTCGAATCTGACTTTTCACCTTTTTTTTTTTTTTGAAATATAGTATTTCAATTTATGTGACAATAAATTAATAAAGGAAAAGAAAAAAAGATTCTTACCAAACAGAGTGCACCAATTGCCAAAGCTGCGTTTATAGAAACTTGAGGGACTGCCTCCTCAGCAACTTTACGACATATCTACATAGGAAACAAGAACAGTTGGTTAAAAAAAAAGGTCTACACAATACATTATGGATAGTGTGTGCCTAAAAATATTGTGTGTAAAAGTTTTGAATGCAGCGCTTCCTGCAGAATTAGTACATGTCCAGAATTTCATGGTGGGGGGAAAAAAAAAAAATTTGATTGGCCATGAAAAGCATATTACTGCACTAGCATTTAATGCAAGATGTAACAAAGGCTCAAAGGTTTAAATTATATAAAACCCTCAGAAATGTACTTGGCAGCATATTATTTCCAGAATATATTTTATACTGTTTTAATAACTCTGTTAAAGGTAAATTTGATGTATAAAACATAGTATATTTCCTGTTACATCCACCAATAGACAGTTTTTGTTAAAATATTTCCTAGTTGTTCCCACTTCTGGAACTTCCAATGAATGATCAAGACTATTGCGCAATTTCTATGAAATGTGGTCAACTTCCATATCCAATGCATCTTCAAAAAGATTTAAGTTTTGTTTGAGGCGTCTATAGCTGTTTGTAAGAGTAACTGTAAGACTATCCTGGAGAGATTATCTTCTTTTTAATGTTGTTGAGAGTATTATAATTTTTTTATTAAAAAAAAAACTTTCTTATAACTATCACTCTCTAGCAGATTTGATTGTAAGAAATTACTTCTCAAAACAAAAAATTTGAAAAAAAAAAAAAAACAGTAGCCAAGCAATAGTGTGATTGTAGTCTGAAAAGCAAAATCGTGAAAAAGCCACCCCCAATGAACCCTTTGTCATCAATGTTCTAAGTAGCTAAAGAGTTGTTATTAAGCTAAGAAACAAGTTGTCCCTATTCGTCTTGTTGTTTATTATAAAGGACTACAGTATTTGTTAATTATAAAGGGCAATAGCTTGAAAAAATTTATGTATTATAATAATACTTAATAAAACCAACTAATTCAGAAATCAATATTTCTAGAGAAGGCATAACTAAGATTTGCAGTCATTGTTGACTCCAAGAACATTGGATCAAAGAATCCACATCACCCATGACTCCATCATTACTTATATCAAATTTCATAAATGAATCTTTCACTATTGATCATGGAAAAAAGAAAAATCCAGCCTTCTTGACAATCCTTTTGCTCCCCAACACATGCATGCTTGCGTACCAATTGTTCCTGTTGAAATTCGAACCTACAATTGTTTTGATTGGCACATAAACTACTTCAAAAGATCAAGTTAAGGAAGAAGCAACAAGAATTTATAGTAAAAGGTTTAATTTCTTATCTACCTCCGAACTCTATATTGCCTATGAACAAATCGTCAACCATGGTTGAATACATCCCAACGCTATCTTCATCGAAAGAGGTCAAGATATATGAAAATTATCATCTTAACTTAATGGAAATCCTCTATCAGTCAATCTCATCCATATTGGATCAAATTAATATAGTAGTATCCAATCACTTGAAATCCAATGTACCCTATCAATTTAAAATAAATAAATCCAGCATCACAGCACTCTACCTAAACCTAACTTTGAAGATTTAATTTGAAAGCTGAGATTATATGATATATATTCTCCAACTTGAGGGATAGTGTTGAATATTTGAAAGTCAAAATTAGAGAATTTATTTTAGGAAATTATTTTTGAGAATAAAAAGAGATGTTGATTGTGATCTTATCCAATGAAAATGTTTCCTAATTAGAGAATTTATTTTAGGAAAGTAATTTGAGAATAAAAAGAGAGATCAATTGTGATCTTCTCCCAAGAGTCTATTTCCTAATTTTTAGAAAACAATTGTTCTCCTATAATTTTGTTTCCCAAATTTTAGGAAAAAATTATGCTAGCTAGTTATTTTTTTTATTTTATTATATATATATATATATATATATATATAGAGAGAGAGAGAGACAGACATACATATATACATATATACATGCATACATGTATATACATACATCTATATATACCATCGACTAAAAAGGCGTTTGAGGCGGACGCCTCGAGGCGCGCCTCGAATCGAGGAGGAGGTCGGGCGAACTGAGGCTTAAGCCTCGAACGTCCAGGCGAGGCTTACGCCTTTTTCCACGGAGGCGTACGCCTCAATACGTGAGGAGCCGAAGCGCATCGAGGCAGCGCCTCGAAAGGGAGAAAGTTACCTTCAAAGCCAGCAAG